CTGCTGCTACTGCTGCTGCTGAAGATGAAGATGATGTTGGTGGTGGTGATGGTGGTGGTGGTGAGGGTGATGGTGATGGTGGAGGTGGTGGTGGTGGTACTCCTGCTGCTGCTAATGATGATGATGATGATATTGGTGGTGGTGGTGGTAGTGGTGTTTATGATGATGATGATGATGTTGGTGGTGGTAGTAGTGATGGCAATAGTGATGATGGTGGTACGGTTAGGTGCCCTGTGTCAGTCTCTCCCTTTGGTGCTCCCATGCACCACAGGATGCACCACTGCCCAGTCCTGCCTCAATCCCATGATCAGTTACTGATCAGATTATTGTGATCAATAAAGTTTTCATTGACTGATTTTCAGAGGGAAACTTCCAGGCCTGCCTTCCAAGCCCAATTTAGTCTGGAAGCTCCACTTCATAGCAACACACACAAAGGAAAAAACCTCCATTGACAGTGGTCAGGAATTGAACTCAGGTCTCCCACATGAAAGGTGAGAATTCTACCACCACCTAACTCTCCCTATCCTCGTGGATGGGCCTATCAGCAGCAGGGCTGCAGGAGGCTCAGCTTGATGACCACGCTGATCATTCTAAACCTGACATGCAGATCAGCCTGGCTCCACTCCTCGCTTGACAGTGCTCCACCACTAGCCACCAGCGGACAGCTCTGCGTCAGCCTCTTAGCCCCATCCCTGCCCCTCAATCTGCACTGTGCAAGGTTGAGGTGAGCCTGTGGCAAATCAATCTGCTGTTACCAGACATGCCCACTTCCCCTGTTTTCCCTGCCTTGGGATACTCACATAATTTCACCCGAACAACTTTGGGGACCCTTGACCTAATACAAGAAGAGCTCTATGCCTGATTTGACCTTGGGGTGTCCTTCTTCCTCAGTGGGTGTCATCCTGATTGTGAGCCACGGCTCGGCGCTGGACTCCTGCACTCGGCCCCTGCTCAGACTGCCGTCCCGCGAGAGTGGGGACTTTGCCCAGCTGGTGAGGAAAGTACGTGCCCCATCCCCTCTCTGTGGTTCCCGAAACCCAGTCCCCTGAAGATGCCACACTCCTTCTTCCATGAGACCATGTAGTGGGTAACCCAGAGGAACAGGAACCTACCTGTCACCCACACCCATACCCACCCAAATATTTCACCTGACCGCTAGGCCAAAGATACCCAAGGCGGGAGACTGATGGGGAAGGCTTGCCATCTGTGTGCCCCCAATTGTAACTCAAGCCATGTGCTACCAATGTAGTGTAAAGAAGAAGGCACAGGGTTTTTGTAAAGACAGCTCGTATTAAAATTCCTGACTTATGAGCAGCTACTGTGGAGCAGATGCTGACGCAGGTTGACCCAAGAGTTAGAGTAGAACAGGCTCCACAGGAATTTCAGTAGCTGATTTCTCGGGAGGAGACCTTCAGGCCTCTCTTCTGGGGTGCCTCTGAGTGCACCCTCCAACCTTTCCGTTCCCAGTAGGGCGGGTTAGATTCTGCAGCACCAGGGACGCCCAGTTCCTTGCTGCTCCAAGAATGAGCCAATGGCGGAGACGGAGGAAGCCGTTTGGAAAGAGAGACACAGAGAAAGGTCAGCTGTTGGGCTGACCCAGAGACAGTTCATGGCTGGAAAGGCTCCCCAGGCTTGCTGCTTCCAGAGTCACCAAGCCGCCAGGGGACCAGGAGCTGGATGGAGCTGCCGGATGCCAGCTGGGTAAACACATCATAACAACGGGAGCAGACAGCCAGTGTGTAGAGAGGGACAGAGGGCACTTTGGGTGACCTGGGTGCGTGCCACCTGGCCCTGCAGAGGTTGACTTCTCTCCAGTTCATGAGGTTAATTGAGGCGGGCAAACTCAGGAGCTCAGACCAGCTGCTCTCTCGCCAAAAGATGTGCAGGGCTGGGCTTGTCCATTCCCTTGTCTTTTTTGATCAAAAAACGCCATTGGCTGCCCAAGGACCCCATGATTGCTGGTTCCAACCTTAGTACCAACCATACCAGCAGAGGAAGTGGGCCCCTAACCCAAGGCCTTCCCACAGAACCACTGCCAGCTAGAACTTTTTTGCTGCAAATTTGGGCCAGAGGGGGCCACTGTGCCCCCAAAGGGCCTGAGGGCAACAGAAGAGTCAAGAGGCCTTCTGAGAGAAGACCTTCTCCCAGGCTCGACCCAGCCCCGGTCGGTCCATGCCTGTGAGTTCACGCCTGCCCGGGAATGAGCACACCTCTCTCCCTGGAGGCAGGTGGGATGCCAGAGAGCTTGTGGCTCTGAAACATACTCTGAGCCATGGATGGCTACCGCTCTGAGGCACCGACATCTTGATCCCCTTCTCCTTTCTAATCCCAGTTCCCTCTGGAGCGGCTTGCCCTCCAGGGGGTCTCCCGCATGGTGTTTCCCATCCCCAGTGGGCAGTGAGTTGAGCCCAGCTCCAATGTGTGTCAGGGGAGACCTGCACTCCACCACGCTTCCAATGGCTGCTTTTTTTCTGAAGTGGATGGCCAGGCCTTTCTTCCGAGGCACCTCTGGGTAGGCACACATCTCCAGCCTTTCTGTTAGCAAGCTATGCGCATTAACTCTTTCCACCACCCAGAGACTTCGTTCCCCAGTTATAACCCAGATATGCTGGAGCCGCCCCAGGCTCCTGGGCCACGGATTCATGTCCAGAGAAGATAGCATCTGGGTACCTTACCTGCTCCTGTTCAGCCCCTTGCGTCCATTATGTCACTCTTATTCCTGCAAACACCCCGGGTCACTCTCATCACAGGCTCTGGGGCTGCCCTGCTCCCGCCCACACCCTTTCCCAGTGCCCCAGGCCACACATCAGATCCCTGTGGCAGAGGCTGATCCAGGGCTGCCTGTGGGCGTGGCTGCTGTGAGGTGTCCTCGGGCTGTTTCCGACCCAGAGAATGAAATACAGCCCAGTCCTGTGCCATCCTTACAGTGGTTCCTGTGCCTGAGCCGTCTCTGCAGCCACTATGCCAGTCCATCTCGTGGGGGCCCTCCTCTTTCCCGCCCCTCCACTTTGCCAAGCATCAGGTCCCTCTCCAAGGACCCCTTGTCCAAAGTATGTCAGATGGATGTTGCCATCCTTGCCATCCATCTGAGGAGCACCCTGCTGTCCTTTTCCAAGAAGGATGGGTGTGTCCTTTGGGTAGCCCCAGTACTTTCCATCTTCTCCGCTAGCAGCACCGTTCAAATACGGATGGGCGGAGTTTCAAAGCTCCAGAAGCAGGTGCACCCTGTGCCTGAGGCCCCGCCTCCCTCTCAAGATGCCCACCTTGAACATCCATGCTCCTGTGACGTTCTGACGCAGGACTCTGAGCCCTCCAGCCACCATCCCGTGAGAAGTTCGACTTGCCCACAGGGAACAGGAATCCACCACAGGGTTCTGCCCACTGACCTTCTAGAACTTCCTCCTGGTCCACCCTACCATGCCCACCCTCTTCTCTATGCACAGAGAGAGAGAGAGCAGTCCCTGGCTCCATGCCAGCCGCCATGGTGACTGCTACCCCTGTGTGTGGGATACCTTATAAATTTCATCAGACCGCATAATTTCTAAACATTAAAAAGAAAGAAAATCTGTAAAAATCAAAGATCTCATCCAACACATCTTTTTTTTTTAATATGAGGGTGAGTCAAACAGCAGTGCTTCCTAGTGTCCAGCCCACGCAGACACTGGGTTATTCCAAATAAACCCTGTGCTCTCAGGAATGTACTTGTGTGCATCTCAGTGGGGTGCCTTCCAAAAATGCCCCATCAAGACAGTGGTTTCTGAGGGATCTACGGGACCAGTTAACTCCAAGGCAGCAAGGTCAGCTTGGGGGGTGATGGCTACTGGTTTTTGTGTGTGTGTTTTTTTTGGGGGGGGGGATTCCTAAAGAGTCATCTTAAGAGAGTTTCTCCAAGGACAAAGGAAAATCCTGGGGTTTATTGTGGAGAAGTTTTAAGAAAGCTGAAGACTTCATTGGTGGGGGAAAAGGCCAGGAAAGGGGCACCAAATAGTCTCCTCCATCATGACCACGTATCTGCTCATTCATCCTTCGAGGCTGCTGAGGGCTGCCCTGCAAGAATTCCTTTGGGAAACGCTTCAGATTTCTTTCTCTTTTTCCCCAGTTGTTTTGGCACTTCATCCACATATCACATGATTCAACCATTTAATCATTGCAGGGAAAAGTGTACAATCATCGTCACAACCAATTTCAGAACATTTTCTTTCTCCCCTGCCCCTGCCCTACTCCCCATTATTACATCGCCCCTTTAAAATGAGGTATGAACTCAAATTCAGTTATTTTCTTTTATTTTAAGGTGAGTTGAATTTTATTTTTACTACTGAAATCCCCTGCTTAATTTTGACATTCAGTTCTTTTTATTCCCCAAACTCCAAGAACATTAACAGGAGCCTTCTTTGAGTCCCTCGATGTTCCTGGGCTGCCGCTGCGATGTGGTGTCGAGGGAGGAGCACAGGATTCTTTAGAAAGGGGTATCAGAGAGGAAATCTGTTATCATTTGATTGGGGGCTCTTACAGCTCTTAAAAAAATCCATACGTTCTTTGTGTCAAGCACATTTGTACATATTTTGCCATCATTCTTTCCAAAACAATTTTTTTTAACTCATCCATATATTTCCCTCCCTGAGTCTGATAACTCAATACCAAACCAAGCCCATGGCTGTCCAGTTGATTCCAAGTCCTGGCAGCCTGTGCGTTCCAGAGTAGAACTTGTCCAAGGGGGTTTGTTGATTGGTTGGTTGATTGTTCGCTTGGTTGGTTGGTTGGTTGGTTGGTTGGTTTTTTGTTTGTT